CCCGATGTTTAGTTCTGACTCTGGACACTAACAGGAGTCCAGTCCCTGTGCTCCTCAGAGTCCGGGCTGGTTCATATGGCATACTTACTATTATGTTACCATCCATCCATCCATTTTCTACCCTTTAATCCATTTCTGGGTCAGGGGGGTGGCAGTCAGAGATGCCACCCAAGTCTCATAGCACCAGCCCCTCACTGACCCTCTGCAGGTGGTGAGTCCACAGGAGGACGGCTGCTCTCTGAGTGTGAGCATAGCCTTGATCTTTCAGTGGGGGCTTTGGGCAAAGTGGGGTTAAGTGTCTTGCCCAAGGACACAACGACAGCAGTCATCAGTGGGAGTCGGTGGAGAAGGTGCAGAGGTGGGAATTGAACCCACGACCTTCTGGGCTTAAGGCCAATGCTCTACCAACTGAGCTACTGTCGCACTATTATGTTACAATACTGGGAAATAGGCTAATAGACTTCTCATCTGTATTGTCTTATTTAACTAGTTTATATAATCCACAACATAATGAAATCGTGCAAAGCTGCTGTGATTTTGGGCTAGATATACTGTATATGCATTCAATTCAATTTGTGTAAAACTAAAAACATATGTCTCTCTGATGAAAAAAAAAAAAAAAAGGAACAAAAAGTTTATTCATTCGTTCAATCAGTTTACTTGGTAAGGAAAGAGATAGATCTAAACAAATAGTGTAAAAGTATGTAAAAGTCTGCATCTATTCCGTATTTTTTATGGATGGTCGTTTTTATTCTATTTACTTAAGTTTATGTATTGTATAGTGTGCCTATTGTCTGGCATCTGGTGCTTTTGTTGGTGTTATTGGTGTCTTATAAGCCCATTAGGGCTGGGCATACAGTGTGTATGCAAGACACAATAATAAAAACTATTCATTCATTCATTCATACTTGCCAAATTGTAAATAGAAATGCATTTGCAGATACATATTGATGTGGTAAATATACAACACACTAGGGCAAATATTGTTGCTTTTTTGTATATTTATGCTTATATATTTGCATGTGTAAGTGTATACTGTGAGCACAGAAGTCAACATTGTACATGCCTGTAGGTCATGTAAGCTAAGGAATGTGAATAATGTAAATACTTATAAATGTAAAATTTCTGCTAAAAAAAACAATTTAATATTAATAGTGGTTCAGTTGTCAGAACAAAACTGTCAAAACAAAATCAACAGCGTTTCTTCCCATTCAGTCAAAGAACAAATAGCTGAAAATCTAAACTTGTGCCAAAATCTTAAGTGAGGTATAGCAGTGGTATAGCTAGAATTTTAAAATAAACCCATCACTATTTTTAGTTGAATGTAAAAGTTTGGATGGCTTCGTTGGCCGACCTTGCTTGGGAATGTTACAGTAATGTCGACTTTATAAATATTTCATTGTGTAGGAGACCTCAAACTCGACTGACAGCAGCGCGTGAGGAAATATTGGATTGGATTTGGTTTTGCTGTGTGGCATTGTTAGACATTGTGGTCGGGTTCCACTCCTCTACAAAAATAAAGAATGAAATGTAAAAAATAAAATAGAAATGGCGGGGGCACAGCCACAGAAACCACAAGACGAGCTCAGACATCAGCCCCAAAAGCCACTGCATCTTGAGACAGAATAGCAAATGAAGCAGACTGCGATAGTACCCAGCCCGCACTGCTCCAACTGTCTGGGGGGGTTCTATATGATGAATCATGAAAAGGGAAACTGCGTTTTTTATATATATATATGTATATCTTTTATTCATTTTACAATTCTGTGCCTCTCGCTTGGTTGCTTTCTTTCATGTTTTGCCTTATATTATTTTTTATGAGATCCCCAGGACTTAGAAATAGACTGTACGATTACATTTCGATATAATTCGTAGAACGCAAGCGATTTGATCATTGTGTTATTCTCTTATATTATTATCCTAATAATCTTGAAAGCAAAGACGGTTGAATTTAATGTTAAAGTATTATTCAGTTATAAGAATAAAGCAGAAACCTTGTGTCCTTGGGCACAACGCTTTAACTGCTTTGTGTCTGTGTGAAAGAATGAGCCTCCTCAAGTAAACATTAACCTATGACTAATCCTGGCAATAGTCTTGATTTAACAGAATCACGTTGCATTTGTTCTTTGTTCTCATTATTTACAACAGTTTTTTATTTTACCCAATCGTCCTTTATGACTTTCCGCGCTTGAAACCATATTTTGTTTACTTTAGTATTATTCTATTCCCAGACCATAACTTTTGGCTTCTTTCCATTGTACTGTTTTATTATGCTGTATTTCTCAGCCTCGTCTCCAGGTATATTACCTCCGCTCGTCATCTTGTCTTTTTGGCAATGTACATAAGGCTTTCTGCTCTTTAGGAGGCGGTATCCATGGAGACGGCATTGCTAGGCAACAGCCGTGTTCTCTCAAATTTCTTCCTCCCCTTCCACCAATCAGAACCCAGGGAAAGAGTGGCACCATGTGAGAAAAGTTCACAACTCATTAAAGCTGTGGAAAAGAAAAAGATAGTGTGCAATTAGAGTGACTGAATGAATGTAGGAGGCTTTGAGTATCTCAATTATTTCAAATATTTCAGTTAAAAAGTCTTTGTCCTAAACTAAATATTGAACTAGTCTTATAAATGAACTGAAGCTTGTTTTAAAGCTCTCAGTTTTGTGTCATGATTCTGGATCACACCTGACCAACTAATCAAATAAATAAATAAAGAATAAATAACAATAGTTTTAAGCTGTGTTCAGATTTAGACACACTGCAAAGAAATATGGGATTATTGTTTTACTTTTAACTTTTTACCTGTTTTGAACAGATGGTATTTGATCATTGTGCCAACTCCATTTATAAATTAAAGCTGAAGGTGGCACAATGGTTGAGATGCTGATAAACATTCTGTATGTAAGTGATCAATAAATTACTCTAATGAGTAAAAACTAATTTTAGGTCAAACAAGAATCCTGTCTTTACAAAAGCAAACAACCCCCCCAAAGATTCCGTCTCATATTCTTTCTTTTCTAGTGAAATGAAATGTCATCAACTAGAAAATAAAATAAACATAGTTATTGTTACACATTTTCTTAGTGAACACAAATATTTTACCACAATAATGAAAACAATAAAAAGGCTGAATGTGTCGTAAACGTTTGAAGTTAAATGTAAACGTGGATTAGAACTCTGTCAGAGGTCTGTGGGATTAGCAGGGAACTGATGAATTGAAGTTAATGAAGGAACACCAGTGAAGTTGTCATGAAACCCTCTCCCTGCTGGAGTCCTGGCAGCAGACAGTGGAAATGAGCAGATGGAGAGAAGTAGAAATAGTAGAAACAGTCAACAGCACATATCACACAACCAGACAAACAGCAGCATGTGTAAACAAGTGCAGTTTTTATGAAAAATGCAAACAACAAACCCAACTAAGAAAATATTGTTGCATCTTATATATTTGTACTAGTTTTGCAGCAGCAGAAATATACTAAAGATGGCGGCCTGTCTTGTCCTTTCTTCTGTTGTCCTGATCCTACCCATTCATCTGTGTGATTACTGCTTGCATAGAGACACATAAGCAGTCATGGCATGTGGCTGTTTAGATTTCACTTGTTATTTATTGATATCTTGATTAAATTCGACCTTCAATCTTGTGTCTGTAGGCAATCGGGTGTGTTGGTCCAAAAAAATAATAAAACAAGAAAGAAACAAATAGGAGGAACCAAACCACAAGACTGAGTAGGCAGAGTGGAATGACCTTCAGAGAGACTCGATAACTTGCGTCACACTCACAGATAAATGCATTGTATGTTCTCAATGCCCAGACTAATAATGGATCTTTGAGAACGGTTTTTTAAGTGTGTGTGACAAGTTGAACTATTCACTATTTAACTTAAAACATCTATAAGTGTGTGTAAATGTCTCAATTAAAGATTGTGCACTTGTACATGTATTTTGTCACATTCGACATTCGTAAACTATAGTAAAGGCCTGCAGTATATATCAAGAGAAAATTACTGGCTCGGATCTTCTTGTGAACCCGTGTCTCAGACCTCGACCTTCTCGCTGTTCCTAGTGTATCACTGAACGTAGGAGAAGCAGATTTCTCTCTCTATGTTCCTTGCAAATGGAATACTCACATTTCAGAGTAAACTAAAGGCTCATCTATTCAGACTTTTTAATGTATCTGTGATCGTGATTCACTGTCTCAGCGGTTGTCACGCACGTGTATCTGTATTTCATTATTTAAAAAATTGTTTTACATACATTTTATTCTTCTGTTTCTCTTATTTAAATTTAGTTATATTTCTGAAAATATTTCTGTATTTTTGTTATGGTCTAGTTTGGGAAAACACATAAAAATAATGTTATAGCTAATATATAGCTGATATTACTTTTTGTACTACTGCAATCCCGGCTAAACAGTAGAAACATCTCACATTGAGAAGTAGGGAGCACTGCATGGTACAAATCTTTTTTTTTTAAACTACAGGTGCTCATTGGAGAGAGATTAATCTGTAAAATACTTAGAATTACAATAAATCCACGACGCTCAGCTCGGAAAATATTAAAACCCCTTATTTGGGCCTTCCCCACGGCGCAAGTAGCTTCTGCCTTGGATTTTGTTTTTTTCTCAGAATCTTACATTAAAAATATATGTTGCTGATGTTAAAAACAATAGTACTGTAACAAGTGAATCACAACTGATTGATTATTGAAATAGTTCATTACAGATTGAACCATTTTGGGAAGAAGTCACATAACTCCCAGATTATTGCAGAAATATTATTGCAAATGTGTAAACGTGCCTCATGAACAAAAAACAAATTTGTTATAACTCTTCAATGTTCAGCTTTGTTTTAGATTTGTTTTTGTCAAATCAGGGCTTTTGTGATCCAAACAACAACATAAGAAGACATTATGAACATTCACAATAGAATGAATAATCAGCCAACTAACTATAAAAATAATGGTTAATTACACAACAGCATGTGCATCAGATCTTGAATTGAATAGTGAAAGTCCATCTGTACCTGTGTGCATGTGTTGTGGTGTGGAGGTACCATCTGTACCTGTGTGCATGTGTTGTGGTGTGGAGGTACCATCTGTACCTGTGTGCATGCATTGTGGTGTGGAGGTACCATCTGTACCTGTGTGCATGCATTGTGGTGTGGAGGTACCATCTGTACCTGTGTGCATGTGTTGTGGTGTGGAGGTACCATCTGTACCTGTGTGCATGCATTGTGGTGTGGAGGTACCATCTGTACCTGTGTGCATGCATTGTGGTGTGGAGGTACCATCTGTACCTGTGTGCATGTGTTGTGGTGTGGAGGTACCATCTGTACCTGTGTGCATGTGTTGTGGTGTGGAGGTACCATCTGTACCTGTGTGCATGTGTTGTGGTGTGGAGGTACCATCTGTACCTGTGTGCATGCATTGTGGTGTGGAGGTACCATCTGTACCTGTGTGCATGCATTGTGGTGTGGAGGTACCATCTGTACCTGTGTGCATGCATTGTGATGTGGAGGTACCATCTGTACCTGTGTGCATGCATTGTGGTGTGGAGGTACCATCTGTACCTGTGTGCATGTGTTGTGGTGTGGAGCTGTCCATTGTTTGCCTGGTGCTGGTGAGTCGTTGTAAGAGCAGCGGCTGCACATACAAAACAGTCTGCAGTGGTTATGTGATTGCTTCCATTAAACGTGATTATGCAATCAGCAGCAGTAAGACAGGAGGAGGGAGAGCACAAGGAGAGGGAGGTGGGAGACAGAGGCAGGGGTGCGGGCAGCGGGGGGATCACTCGCTTTATAATTATTATGAAACAGACTCATGTGGAGATGGAGAGAGAGCAGCAGGTCTGCCCCGGAGCAGCAGACATGCATTTGGAAAACAGTTTAGTTCACTCCTGTCTGCTGCCACTGTGCACCTTTATTTACCTTTACAGTGCCTTGCAAAAGTATTCAGCCCCATTGGCATTTTGTGTGTTTTGTTGCCTCACAACCTGGAATTAACATGGATTGTTTGAGGATTTGCATCAGTTAATTTACAGAACATGCCCACAACTTTGAAGATGTTGTCTTTTTTGTACAGTATGTGACGCCATAGCTTTTCCTGGACATCTGCTCCAAACCAGTCAGACCACTCTTGTCCAAAATGCAGCCCTTAGCATCAACTCATGATAATGTATTCATGAGAAAAGGAGCATGCAGGAGCGGCATGAGGATTTGGTTGAAAGGTTTTGTAGCACCAGTGAAATGTTAGTGGATTGTGGTGTGAGGTCAACCCTAATGCATTCATTTCAGTAATTCAACTTAAAATATAAAGCCAAAATACGATTTAGCCCTATGTATAGTGACACACACCAAGCCTTACAGCCTTATATATTGTTTTTTTTTTAATAAGGTGTGAGCCAATTATTACCATTATAACAAAGAAAGGCTTGTTACTGTCTGCCTCGCCCTAACGTGTTTTCTGTGCTCTTTCCTCTGTTTATTAAATTGTATATTATTGTATTTTGAGTCCTCCTTCTTTCTTTGAATCATTGCGATATTAGTTAAATCACTGAAGTAAATGGACTTTTGAACTATATTTTATTTTCAAAGCTTCACCTGTATTGTTTATAAAAAGCACCATATATAACATGTATTGACTGATTGTTTGACTTGTCTCTTTGTGCCTAGTGTGGACCTGATGAGTGAGTCAGTGGTCAGAGGGGTAATGATTGGCGGTCTGACTTCCATTACCCTAGGGCATCTGTGGCAATAGCAGCTTTGATTGGAGATGATTGTGAAGCTCTCAGTAAACAGTGCAGCCAAAGTTTTCCTCATATTTGGTTCAGTGACTTTTGCCTGGGGCTTGATCCAGAGCTCAACCCTCACTGTAAAAAACAAAAGCCATCAATACACTTTTCCTTAAATTTAGTTCTTTCTCTTTCAGCCAAGAAAGCTGCGGACGGCTCGGTAATCGCTAACGGCTACTGCGACTTCTGCCTGGGAGGGTCGAAGAAGACCGGGTGTCCTGAAGACCTGATCTCGTGTGCGGACTGCGGGCGCTCAGGTAGGCCGCGGCTGCAGGAGGTGCTGGGCCGGAGAGAGGCGGTGCTCTGTTAATGCACAAACCATTATAAGGACCATACCAGTGCTTCTGTCCCAAACACTATGTACAATACAAGATTAAGCCATTGACAGCCCGTGTCCGCTGTTACACTTCATGTGGAGATACCGTTGGAAAACACTCATTCATTTGCAGATGTGAAAATGCTTGAAATTTGCACTAAATTGTTTATGGACAGTATAATCACTTTCAGTATGTTTTGTTTTTAAATTAACTTCTTACTGTGAGCTATGGATTGTGTGTGCGCCATGATATATCAGCACAAATATGCATTAGTAGTGTAGTATTAATTAAAAATGCAACTTATCATTGAAATACATACAGTGCAGCTGTTTCTTTGGGGGGCTCACATTTCCATAGCTCTGAACATGTAAACTATTGATGCTTGTTTGTGATAATTGTGGTCCACTGTAAGTTGTTTACAACTGAAGACTTCTGAGGGCAAAACGAAAAACTTGAACATGTTTTTGAAAAATGGATGTAAATTATTTTTCTTCCTGCTGTTTGGTTCCATTAATGAGCACCGATATCTGTGACCCTGTTTGTTTTGACATGTAACACTGTGGCTGTATTTGATTTGGTTTTGATGTATTCATGTTCACGAATGATGAAAGTGCATTTTGGCATTTCCCCTTTATATTATTTTGGTGCATGTCCAGTTTTTGTACATAAAACTTTACTTCAAGAGAATTGTCAAAGATGTATCTAGCAAGGCACCTTTGCATTTGTATCAGAGCAGTGTGTTGCTTTTGTGAATGTGGTAAAGTGAGATTAGAGTAGATTCACTTTTTGTATGATAGCTCCTGAAATGTTTGTGCTTTTGTTTGAGTTTGAATAATAAGACAAACTCTGAAAACTGAATATTTATGTGTAAAATGGCCTAATTGTATGTATTGTACAAAGCTCCTTCCCTACATGACTCCAATTATACAATAAAAATGTGAATCAAACGTGCACATGTGGCTTGTAGTAATTGGGCACGAGAAATATTGGTATGGTCCTTACACCTCATTTTATGTTTTTGTACTGACATAATAATCTGACCCAAGAGGGTTCAAATTCTCAAATAATTGCTCATTTAAAGCTGAGGTACCTAACTTTTATTTTTTCCCAAAGTAATACATGTTGTTTGTCCCAACAGAAAAAGTGTTGTAAAACAATCTTGAACAAACATGACCACAGACTGTGGTCTGTGGTCATGTTTGTTCAAGATTGTTTGATTGGCTGAGTGAGGGTGATCCTCTCTTTTTCACCTTTTCTGTCTGAAAAGTCTGATCTAAAGATTTGACAGAAGATAAACTAATACCAAAACTAGAGATAGAACTAAACTGTGTTCAGAGCGAGGACTAGTAATATTTTCATTACAGTTCCATTTGCTGTGGTTTGAAAGTGAGGTACCCCAGCTTTAAGCAGAGCCCAAAGGCTTGATAGTCATATGGTAGAATGCTCACACTCCTTTAGATAGATCCTGTATTGTATAATTGAAGCTAAAAAATCCACTGTAAACTGTAAATAAAAGGTTTATTTACAACTGAACCGACACAACTAAAAACAAAAACAAATTGAAAAAAAAAAAAGATACATGGAAATTGTTAAAGAATGTGAATGTATATCAGTGGGCAGTATCATGTGTGTAAATAAATCCACAAAGTCCAAACTGTCCTGTGGTGTGCACCAGGCCACCCCTCGTGTCTGCAGTTCACCGTCAACATGACGGCGGCCGTGAGGACCTATCGCTGGCAGTGCATCGAGTGCAAGTCCTGCAGCCTGTGTGGCACCTCCGAGAACGACGTATGCACCACTCCGTCTTCTTCACAAAACTAATGATGATACATGTGGTGTGTTGAATATAACTGTGTGTGTGTGTGTGTGTGCGCGCTTTAGGACCAGCTGCTGTTCTGTGATGATTGTGACAGAGGCTATCACATGTACTGCCTCAGCCCGCCCATGTCCGAGCCTCCTGAGGGTAAGACTGCCCAACACTACTGCTGCCTTTTCCATTTTTACTTTTGAAAAGTCACCCACGCTGATTTTAAAATGTTTTAGACAAAGACTAAAAGGTGTTTGGCCCAGGGATATCACTTTTGTTCAAGTTCAAACTATTGATCTTATGGCAACAAAATTATTTTTGAATTAGATAGATTAGATTTATTAAAGCTGGGCTAAGTAACTTCAGTATTCATAAATAATAGACGTTGTTTATCTATTATTATTATTATTATCCAACCAAAAAAATCTTGTAAAAGTTGTGAAGAAATCAAACCACTTCATGCTTAATTTTTTTTTTTTTAACACTTAAAGAGCCTTGTGAGGGTGAGGGTCTTTTTCACTTTTATGTCTGAACCAGCTGAAACAAGCTCCAAACTGGGAGAGGTTTTGTAAGGGAGGAACTAGTTACATAGAGGTTGTTGCGAAGTTAGTTTGAGTGGTTTGAAATGTAGGTTGTCCATCTTCAAGAGTTGAGAGAATTTACCGGCAAACACAGAAATGTGCCGAAAGTACCTAGAATATACCGTACAAAATCAACTTTAAGATTGAAGGAAAGAAAACCTGGCTCTGAATCAGATCAATAACATTATTCTTTAGTGTCTTGCCCAAGGTACGCATATATATACCACATAAACTAACACCATCCTCTCAAAATATTTTGCTGAACTTTGAAAACCTGCCTTCACCTCCATCCCATTGCAGCACAACATATAGTTATTGTGAAGGACATAAAATGGTCGCCCACTGTGATATTTGATTTGGTTGTTATGGCGATGTATTGAGGGAAATATTCTGTTTCCATGGAAAAGTGTCACTTTGTTGAACATACAGAAGCCACACTTACTAACAGTGTCAGCCGCTGCCCACGCACCCTTATTTGCAAGGAACCAAACGGCTTTACACCTTCAGCCCCTCTCTAAACATGATTGAAAAAAGCAACAAAACTAGAATATGTGAGGAGGTTTTTTCAGCAGGAGGAGCCAAAGGGTATCACACACTGTAATAATAGTATATGGACAAATTAATGTCACAAATGCAGCAGGATATATTCAAACTGAACAAGTCCAATCCGATTTAGTGAGGCACCATGGGAGCTTTCATCGGCGAGGTACTTAGCACAGTTTAATCTGCACAGCTTTACAATGGGATTAACATGGATAAGGACAGCTGTCAATATTAAGACAAACACTCGCGGCGGCAGTCACTTGAGACACGTTTTTTGTTCAAATAAAATGTAAACAAATTAAATATGGTTTAAGTTCGAGACACTGAGAAAATATTTCACTTACAACGTCAGTGTTTGTGTTCATAACTTTTAACATTTGCATTCCAAGTTGTATATATTTCCAATTTAAATGTAGCGTGTCTAACAAAATAGTTAGTTTTTTATGGTTCTCATTTAAACACTGACCAAAAAATGTGAATATATTTTTTTTTTACTGCCACCCACCATCACAGCCACTGTTCTTTACTTTTCTTTGTTACTTTTGTTATGATCCAGCAACCACATATTATTAGAGAGGGAAAAAGCAGCGGCGTTCAGGCATTTTGGCGCAATTTTTGTGTACTGCTACTTCATTCAGCCCTTTGTTGGGCGGCACGGTGGCTGAGTGGATAGCACTCTCGCCTCTCAGCAAGAAGGTCCTGGGTTCAAATCCCGGTTGGACCAGGGCCTTTCTGAGTGGAGTTTGCATGTTCTCCCCGTGTCTGCGTAGGTTTCCTCCGGGTGCTCCGGTTTCCCCTACCACTAAAAATATGTACAATAGGTATGGCATGTGCCTCCTGTACTGGCACTCCCAAAAAAATAACAATTGTAAACCGCTTTGAGACTCCGATGTGTAGTGAAAAGGCGGTATATAAATAAAAGCTTACTTACTTACTTACTTACTTTGTTGCAGAGGTGGGACAAAGTCATTGTTTAGCAAGTCACAAGTCAGTCTCAATTCATTGCCCTCAAGTCCCGAGTCAAGTCACGAGTCAAGACAGGCAAGTCCCGAGTCGAGTCCAAGTCAAAGGCCAACAAATCTCAAGTCAGTCCCAAGTCCTACGGTTTGACTTTCGAGTCCTCTCGAGTCTTTTTGACCGCGATTTGTTTCTTGTTGGTCTCCACGTACTTTTGTAGGCAAACAAAATAATGTTAGGAATCATTTTGCTGGTGCATTCTCGTTGGTCTCTGACCCATGGACTAACAGTTTGTTCCATGTCGTTGGCTGCTGGTAAATCAAAACTATCTACGTGATCTAATTGGATGTTGTGCCAGATGCAGGCTCAGTTACACATGCACAGACCACACATAAAATCAGAGCAGTCCATGTCAACATACTTTTTATTTTTGGGGTTTTTAATGGGAAGTAGCAAGTGCAGCAGTGCAGCATATATGAATATGAGTATTGGGCTAGGACCTGTATCTATATAATCAGTTTAATGTCCGTAGTGGTTATTGTTCCAAAGGACTGAAGGGACCAATGGAGGGGAAGGACCCCGGCCTGTATGAACTGGACCAGCATTAGTAATATCTCATAATTACCAATATATCATTACATAATAAAATGTCTCATATAAATTAATTCAATCAGTCAAAGCACTGATTCTCATATCAATGCACCATAAATAATAGTGCAAATATTAATCTAGCTTAGTGCACATAATCAAAACAACTATCTAATGTATGCAAACTTTAGCAGGAGGAGCACAACAAAAATATACTCATAATAATAGGCCTCGGCGCCCACACAGAAAAATATAAGAAAGAGCCAACAGAGCAGCGCAGGCTAGCGCTAGTTTGACTCACCAGTTCCTCTTTAAAACACGGCACACAGTGTGACAACTGCGTCGATTCAATTGTATGAGGCGCCTGTAGTGAAAGCATATCAATTACGGTTTGTAGAACAAAGTATGACGTTAGGTCGCGATAAATACCTGCAGCTCGCTCATTTCCAGCTCCCCTAGACAACACACCCACCGGTGAATGCAGTCCGCTTGTTTAGGGAAGTGTTGCTGCGCGAACTGCGGGAAACTCACGTTCAAACTCTCTCGCGAGCGCTACAACTACCGCGAGGCTTTGTTTCTTCAGAGACGGCATAGATAGAAAGAGAGATGCGGAGAAAGGTAAAAATGGCCCGGGTTACGCAAGTCTTTGCAAGTCAATTGGCGCAAGTCCAAGTGAAAGTCAGAGTCATTGATGTTAAAGTCCAAGTCGAGTTGCAAGTCTTTTTACATTTGGTCAAGTCGAGTCTAAAGTCATCAAAATCATGACTCGAGTCTGACTCGAGTCCAAGTCACATGACTCGAGTCCACACCTCTGCTTTGTTGTGATGATGCGTACAATGATTTACATGAACAATGAAAGCACAGGTTCCAATGGACATGGTCATTTTTATATATGTTCACATGATGGAGAGACTGTACTGTTTTAATTTCTTTCCAGTAAGAAAATCAACAAAACACATGGTAATTTCCAATAGAGAAGTAATTTTCTTAATCCTAACCTTAAAAAAATTGTGATAAAAATGAAGAGTGTATAGCAGAAGTCATGTTCTTTCGTGCCCAGGCATTGATTTTGCCAAATGTATTGTGTGTTGCAGGGAGCTGGAGCTGCCATCTGTGTCTGAGACAGCTGAAGGAGAAAGCCTCAGCCTACATCACTCTCACCTAATCTGCCCCTCCGCTGCTGCACCCCCGTCCCCCACCACCACCACCACCACCTCGGTCCCGCCCACGACCCCCCTCCCCCTCCCTGCAGCCGTATGTGACGTTACACTGAGCACAGCATCGCGGGGCATCTGTCCTCCTCAAGTCAAACTCTGCCTCCATCAACAGTCTCTGCAGTGATCGACCAGTAGAGCAACCAATCAGAGAGCCCCAGTGCGTCCTTAGCCCCGCCCTCCGGTTCAACTTTTCTTAAATCATAAATTATTCAGTGATTAGGCGTCCAGAATGAGGCCTGGCCAAGCAGATTTATACAAAATCTTCGACTTGCCCCATTTCTACTACTGTTTATACCGACGGCCGTTAGAGAAAGATAGTATTTAATCAGATTACACAGACTCACAAGTAAAAAGGAGAAATCAAAAAGAAGCCCAATACTGTACTTATTTACTGGTACTTTTGACAATTCTATTATTACAACTACACCAATCTGGTCAGTCATAGAAGCAATGGTAAAAAAATGAAATAAAATCCTGTACGCATTTGTTATTAGGTTGGAACAAAATTCACTTTGTCACCGTGCAGAAATGTTGTAAAAAGTAAGAAAGAAGAAGCACACTATACTAATGTGGCCAGCTCTTTTTTTAGCTGCTTTGACAATACCACTTTCTTCAGGCTCTGAAAGTTGAAACATACTCCTATAGAAACTTTTGTGTTGAATAATTAACTCAGGACTGCAGCAACTGGTTAAAAATGAACTAATTCCTTTTTATTTAATTATTTTTTGACAATTCTAAGGCGACCTTTAATTAAAACAGTGGCCAGAGGTTTATTGTAATTTGTGCTGTTGGCTTCTGTAGCCAATAATGGGAACCTTATTATGAAAGTGAATAAAACTCGTTTGCAAAAAATAGTCAGCAAAAAGAAAACAAAATACACCTCTGCTTGTGCTGCACACCAGGACTCACTGATTAAACATATTTATTGACCCTGCAGTGGTTTGGTGTTTACACAATATTAAAATACAACATGCTGTGTCGTTGAACTCAGATTCCACCCAATTGCTTTTTTTTTTTTTTTTTTGAGGAATCAGATACAGAAACGTGTGTATTTTCAAAAGTGCTAAGCTGCCACCACCTATTTGTCTCCATATCTGAAGTAACGTAACTTCCTGACTATAAGTTGCTACTTTTTTAAATTCTTTGAACCATGTGGCGTACATACAGTGCCTTGCGAAAGTATTCGGCCCCCTTGAACCTTTCAACATTTCGCAACATTTCAGGCTTCAAACATAAAGATATAAAAAATTTATTTTTTGTCAAGAATCAACAACAAGTTGGACACAATCGTGAAGTGGAATGAATTTTATTGGATAATTTAAACTTTTTTAACAAATAGAAAACTGAAAAGTAGGGCGTGCACTATTATTCGGCCCCTTTACTTTCAGTGCAGCAAACTCACTCCAGAAGTTCAGTGAGGATCTTTGAATGATCCAATGTTGTCCTAAATGACTGATGATGATAAATAGAATGCACCTGTGTGTAATCAAGTCTCCGTATAGATGCACCTGCTCTTTGATAGTCTCAGGGTTCTGTTTAAAGCGCAGAGAGAACCATGAAGACAAAGGAACACACCAGGCAGGTCCGAGATACTGTTGTGGAGAAGTTTAAAGCCGGTTTTGGATACAAAAAGATTTCCCAAGCTTTAAACATCTCAAGGAGCACTGTGCAAGCAATTATAATGAAATGGAAGGAGTATCAGACCACTGCAAATCTACCAAGACCTGGCCGTCCCTCCAAACTTTCATCTCAAACAAGGAGAAGACTGATCAGAGATGCAGACAAGAGGCACATGATCACTCTGGATGAACTGCAGATAACTACAGCTGAGGTGGGAGAGTCTGTCCATAGGACAACAATCAGTCGTGCACTGCACAAATCTGGCCTTTATGGAAGAGTGGCTATTTCTCATAGATAGCCAATAAAAGTTTCTTAAAGTTTGCCACAAGCCACCTGGGAGACACACTAAACATGTGGAAGAAGGTGCTCTGGTCAAATCAAACTTTTTGGCCACAATGCAAAACGATATGTTTGGCGTAAAAGCAACACAGCTCATCACCCTGAACACACCATCCCCACCTCAGCTGTAGTTATCGGCAGTTCATCCAGAGCGATCATGGGCCTCTTGGCTGCATCTCTGATCAGTCTTCTCCTTGTTTGAGATGAAAGTTTGGAGGGACGGCCGGGTTTTGGTAGATTTGCAGTGGTCTGATACTCCTTCCATTTCAATATAATTGCTTGCACAGTGCTCTTTGAGATGTTTAAAGCTTGGGAAATCTTTTCTATCCAAATCCGGCTTTAAACTTCTCCACAACAGTATCTCGGACCTGCCTGGTGTGTTCCTTTGTCTTCATGGTTCTCTCTGCGCTTTAAACAGAACCCTGAGACTATCAAAGAGCAGGTGCATTTATACGGAGACTTGATTACACACAGGTGCATTCTATTTATCATCATCAGTCATTTAGGACAACATTGGATCATTCAAAGATCCTCACAGAACTTCTGGAGTGAGTTTGCTGCACTGAAAGTAAAGGGGCCGAATAAAAGTGCACGCCCCACTTTTCAATTTTTTATTTGTTAAAAAAGTTAAAATTATCCAACAAATTTCATTCCTCCTCACGATTGTGTCCCACTTGTTGTTGATTCATGACAAAAAATTTAATTTTTATATCTTTATGTTTGAAGCCTGAAATGTGGCGAAATGTTGAAAGGTTCAAGGGGGCCGAATACTTTCGCAAGGCACTGTAGCGATGTGGCTTAACTTTAGTATTAATTTATTGTGATAGAATTGTGTCAGAGCAGAGTTTATTTTGACTCCATACAGTTTTAGTTCCTACAGGACTCTTGTTTATTGTCTAAATAAACTGGTGAATGAGTACTGCCATAGATAGATAGATAGATACTTTATTGATCCCCTGTAGGAGAAACTCATGTAAGGTAACGGCTAGGTATCTAGCATCATCAAATTACTTTACAACATGAATACCTGCGGCTTATATTCAAGTGCAACCTATATATGGACAACATTTCCTTTTTTCTTAAAATGTTGTGTGGTTTTTTATACAGGTGCGCCTTACAGAGTGCCCAGAAAGAATGGTATGTCATAATAGGCATTAAACTTCCTCCGGGACATAATAAATTAATCTTGGATTTCAGTAGATAGGTCTGTCATTTTGAAATATTGTGGCAATCTATACTTGACTGAAAACAAGAATGGTCAATTTAATGCCTACAGTGAAACAAGTCAGAGCAATAACAAACACTGTTTTAGAGTGATATTTCGATAAAAACAAAAAAACAATTCAAATATAGATTAGGACCTTGATAATGCTAATCTAAACGCTCCCATGAGCATGATCAGATCCTTTTGATCCAGGACCTTTAACCCTATCAATGGTTGGTTTGATACAACATTGATCCTGGTCTCATAACACTCAATCAATATCAATCCATGATCTGCGCCTAGTTTTACAACAATTTTCTTTGAGAATTTTGCTCTTCCTCAAACCATGATTTCCAGAACAGGACCCCCCCAATAGCTTTTATAACACTTTGGGCGAAGATCTTCCAATCAAAACATTCCACAGTGCGGCCTCGGCACGAGCGCAGGGCGGGGCTAGGTCTGGGCTTTTCACTGCGGTCACTTCATCAGCTGTTAATACGACTTCAGCGGAAACCCACACTCCAATCGACCAAGTGCCCTTCAGCGGCGCTCTCCCGGCTCTCCGCAGGGCCCTCACGTCTCCAGCTCAAGCACCCACTGAATTAATAAGACTGATATGTGCAGAGGCAGAGGACAGAGGCTTGGGATGACTTGGAAAACCCACCAATAGCAGCAGAATCTAGCAGGTCAAATCAACTGTGAATCCTCTTTTCAAGACTTTACAACTCCTCCATACTGTCTGGACGTGGCACAGTTAGGACATGTCAAATTGTAAAAAAAAAAATGCCTCCATGATCAACTCCCAGCACAAAATAGCCCATTCATAAGACGTTTTGCATGGGATTTCAACTGCATTTTTGAAGTGGAACGGCCGATCAAGACGAACTGATCCAAGAACTTTGTAAAATGACGATTTAAACTTCTCTTTTCACAAAACTTTTTTCTTCACTTTTCTCATCCAATGACACTCCAGGAGCAGAATGTACAAGATCAAGTGTGGATGATGCAGAAATTGTTAGGCCCTGATTAAAAAAAGGGCTCCTATTTTTTTGCATGTCAATTAATTAAGTTGCTTTGATTGTTGGGGGGTAAAAAGCACACTTAATTCGCAATAATGTGAAGTCATGTGTGCGCCTGTGTGAATGATGCTCTCTGAGGTCAGCGGACAGAGAGGATGTGTTGAATGTACGTCCATACCTCCCAGAAGAATAGTGTGGGTTTGGTGATGTCCCATGACCACTTAATCCAAATCAAGCACTTAACAATGTGTCTAGTTTACATCGATACTGGCTTTATAACGTTGAATTAACAAAACATTCAACAACAAAACAAAGTTTCAGCACTTGTATAATGTGATGCCAGGGTGCAACAGTGGCTGAGTGGTTAGCACTCTAGCTTCTCAGCAAGAAGGTTCTGTGTTCAAATCCTAATCGGAGCAGGGCCTTTCTGAGTGTTCTACTTTTTCTACTGTGTCTGTGTAGGTTTCCTCCAGGTGCTCTGGTTTCTCCTACCACTAAAACATGTACAATAGGTAAAACCTTCCAGCTTGGTTCTGACCAAGAGCATCAACATCTGGTGCTGCACTGCGGCGACCACAGCTAGAGGCATTGCAGGGTGGGTCAAATACAGAGGACATATTTCCCTCCTGGAACAATAATGTATAACTCAACTTAATTTAAAATGCAGCTATAAGCAACTTTCATTCCTCAGTGTCGATTCACCAAACTGGAATCATACAAGTTTACTTTAAACTAACAGACATATCTTTTGTCTGTTGAGTTGTAT